AAACGGACTCCATGCGGTTATATTGTGATAATAAAGCCGCCACCAACATCGCTCACAATCCGGTTCAACATGACAGGAATAAAGCATGTTAAGATTGATCGTCATTTCATTAAGGAGAAACTCACTAGTGGCACAATTTGTACTCTATTTGTGCAGACTGGTGAACAACTCGCTGATATCCTCACCAAGGGAGTTGGGAGTAAACCATTGCATGACATCCTAGGCAAGCTTAGCATGAGAGATATCTTCGCACCAGCTTGAGGGGGAGTGTTAAAATAGTATATTATTAGTTAGGTTGTTATTCAATTGTAATTATTTTATGCCTTAGGGCTTCCTTGTAATTATTAATCTTCTTTAATATAAAAAGGGGATAATATCACAATCATTCCGTAATCTTGGTATTCTCTAAAATTGTCATATCCCTCTAGATTAATACATTAAGATAACTAGCAATTTCAAGAAGATGGGGAGTTTCTTTTGCAACAACTCCATTAAGAGAGGGCTACTACTTTTTTAGCAACTTTTTTTCCAAACTTTTTTGTCTTTAGTTAATTAGTTTTAAAATTATTTTCAAATGTTTTACACATGTTCGGTCCTATAAATTTATTAAAAACTTGGACCGGTTTTTATGTTTATATATATATATATATAAAATCACTAAAAACAAAAAGGTTAAAAAAGCCAAGAAATTAGGCTCTCTTTTCTTTGTGTGTGTCTATTATGATTTTCCCCCAATTTGGTTTCTTTTTTTTTGTTTTTTTTTTGGGGGGGAGGACAAATTACTCTGGTAGTCCTTGTACTTTGATTATTGTGTCATTTCAGTCCTTATAATTTCAATTGGCTCGATTTTGACCCTGAATTTATGATTTTGTCTCAATTTGGTCCAATTGTTTACAACTCTTAGCATTTTTTTTATGAAAAATACGCCCATAAGTGTCTTGTGTCATATTTGAAAGGACAAAATTATAAACTTACTCAACTCAGTGAGTTAACCTCAACCAATTTAGTGATAATTTTCTTTCAAAAATACTAATGATATTATCAATCGGACCAAATTGACATAAAATTTATAATTAAGGGTCAAAATTGAGTCAATTTAAAGTGTAGGGACCAAAATAATACAAGAAGTAAAATATAGGGACCACCGGTGTAATTTGCCCTTCATTTTTTTTGTAGCTTTTATGGTATTCTAGTCTAGTAGGACCTACAAGGTAATTTTTTTTTTGACAATTTTCCAAACCTTATAATTTGAGTTAGGCACAAAATTCGCCATTAGTATGTTCAAACCCACTATCACTGTGATGGATTTAGACTTTGGAATTAAATTGGTTAGCCACCACTTTATAATTTTTTTTGAAATGGAAGAAATCTTCACTTAAATAATTCCAAAGTACCACAGGAGTAACAATCAATAAAGTTGACAAACCAATGAGTCGGATATTGAACCAACATATGAGTGTCCCCCACACATTAGAAAGAATAAGCATAAAATAAATGAGATTCTTTTATTTGTAAGAGAATGAGAACATTTATGCTTGGCAAACTCATAAGAATCACAATTAAAACTAGTTCGACAATGCTATTTGTTGCAGGGTCAATTTTTGTTTCAAAATTCCAGCTTGCAATGGCACTAAGTTGGACACTTAGTCTCAGCCAAGTATGAATACACACACACACACAAAGTGCTATAACAAGTAAGAGAATAGGCAACAAGAGATTACAGGAAAAATCCCAACCTTTATTAATTGCACCAACAATACAAAGGATGCCTATGGAAACTCTTACCAACACTTAGTTAATTTTTGAGTTCCTTGGCTATGCCTAAATAGGCTTACAATCAGTTACAAACTTTACAACCAGCATTACAAGGAAAGCATGCCAAGTGGCATGGCAGTTGACACCCCCAACTGCCTAGAGACTTAGGATCATTTCTGGGGCATAACTGCTAGTAACTGCTGCTAACTTTCTGCCTTCATTCCAGATGTCCAGCCTTGCCTTATCTCTGCTCAACATGGGTAACTGCTGCCAACAGACATGCGTAACTGCTAGAAACTGCCATGTTGTTTGCCTCATCAAATCAGCCACGAATTTGGTTGTCTTGGCCCCCAGACCAAGTTTTGCCTACTGATTGCTTTGAAGCCCCAAACATGCTGTAGCCCACATTCGGGTCATGGTAATGCCTTGCATCTATGCAACGGCTACACATACTTTGGCCAAGGGTTGTGTGCTGCTGCCTCAGCACTTTGCCAACATTTCACCTTGCTGTCTTGGCATGCCACCATCATGCCTTGGTTTTGGTTGGACATGGGCGCAAGGTGCTGCCAATGCCAACCATGCAGCCTTCAAGTAGAAGGTGCTAACACTATTCCACTAGTCTACTATAAAGTTTTTCTAAAAGACCGAAAGAGATGATGTCCCAAATGCATATGCCATTGATGTGAGAATTGAAGAGCAAAACCACAATATGCTTGAAGAGCCTAACCATAAGATAGCGACTATGAGAAAGTTCCAACATCTAAAAAGTACAAACCAACATGATCTCTACAACTGTCAATCATTCTCCCCATCACTAAGTCTTCAATGACACAATGGGTATGAAAAATTTCAAAGAACAGTTCATGGAATTGACAAGGTGACTAACAAAAAGTAGATTAATAGAAAAATGTGGAACATAAAGAACATGAGGAAGATATGGACGAAGATCAATTGATGGAATCTTTTCCAAATATAAAGGACAAAAGGCCATTTGCCACTCTTGCTTTATCCCTATCAAAACAAGAAGAGTAAGAGTAGAAAATAATAGAGGGGCCTGACATATGTTTAGTAATATTAAAATATATTATCTAAGTAATATTAAAATATATTATCTAAGGAATATAAGTGAAGATGCACTAAGTGCACACATTGAGATACTTGTGTGAGCAAAGTTGGGGGATGAACCAAAGCTAAAAGATGTGGTAGATGAAATATCAATCCTGGTTATTAGACAGTTGAGAGTTTACAACTCATCCTGTGAAAGAGTGCCACTATTACTAGGCTAAAAAGGAGCCTTTGAAGTCTCAGATAGGTGAGTCCGAGAACACATAATACCCACTGTAGTCACTATCCTTCAATTTCTAGTACTGCAATCTAGTATGTTGACTTTTTCCACAGTAATCACACTTAGCTGATCAGATCAATCTTGCCACCCTTGTTATTGGACTTAGACTGATGATCTTCAGTCCCATGGAGTAGATATGATAGCTAAAGTAGAGTATTCATGACTAGAAGTATGCACCATAGCATTGAGCTAAAACTCCTCTTGTGGGGGAAGGATCTTGGCCTTAAGACCTGTACTCGAATTTGATATTGAAACCAGCGAGCAAATCATAAACACGCTTTCTCCACTATTTGCTGAAACATGGTTGCATCAATAGAAAAAGAAGCTTGATAGTCCTAATAGTGGTCAAATATCAACATATATCAATCAATAATACATCAATTTTAACACTATCCTTTTGGCCTATCCTGCTAATCTTTTTTGTGAGTTCATAAGCTTGTGCGTCATTACGACTGCGGGAGTATGTCTGAGCTATAACAAAGCAAATTTTATTAGTTGTGTCCGCTAACAATAAAATACGACTGATTTTGGGTTGCATCGAATGAAGCAACCGAGACATGATTATTGTATTTTCAGAAATCCATTGATTACATGCATGTCCATCCATGGCTGGCTATTTGGTCGCTCCCGTGATATAACTAGTACCAATCACTACACTACAAGCATGTGACCAAATCAAACAGTTGCCATCCAACTTAACAAGATTAATTTGGGGAGATGGGTTATCACCAAGAGTTCTTGCATGAGTTAATCCACTCACCTTACAACTAGTAGAAATCGGCCTAGCCTTAGACATGTCCACCTACTAGGAATAGAACACAACCAAACACAAAACAACTTATTTAATGAACCCACAAAGACAACAAGGGAGCTACCCGTTCTGACAGTAATGGCACCAATCAGTGTTATAGGACATTGAAGCCTAAACACAGTCTCATAAGTTATGAATTAAAAAATCAAGTATAATAGCATGTCTTATTAATGATATCAATGAAGTACAAATACTTTTTTATCTCCACGATGATAAATAACTTTATTACTACAGTGGGTATATTGATAAATTCCTCTGCATATGGTACATAATTTGATGGGTTGTTCATATTTTTCTAAGGTGAAATACATGCTCATATAGATGATGCCAAGGGACCACTTTGTCATGTGTGTGTGCTCGCGCACTTATGTTTCATTACCACATACTCTATCCTGTGGTCTTTTATGTCTTTAATTAATTCACTACTAATTGAGTTGATTAGTTCCTCAACTCAAGTATCTATATTTTGTCTATTGAACCCTTCCATGGTATTGTAGTTGTCCTTGCATTGATTACAAAAGTTTTAATCTTGAACCTCTAGGAATATTATTATTATTCTTATTTTTTGTCTCAGGTTGATACTTTTGTCTCCTTTAATTCACTAGTACATTAAGATTACAACTAAGTTGAGAGAGAACAAACTAAAATGGTTTGGTTATATACAACAAAACCACTCTTTCTTTAATTGCTTATGTGCTAGTTTCAGTTTTAAAAATACAGATTTTTCTTAGGATCTTTTCAGGTTTTCATGGTAAATGATAATTATCTATGAATTGAAATGAGGTTTGTAAGATTAGTCTATGTGGTTCAAATCACCATGAATATCCTTGTGTAGTGTTCTTATTTTATTTTTGAAGATCCTGCACAACTGATATTTTTTAGTTTCTCGGTTTCCCCTGCTTTTGTTGTTGGCTGCAGGTTTTCCTGATAAAGTTAGTTTTTGTGTTCAATAAATCATATTAAATATCATAACTTCATTATTTCTTTCTGCTCTTTGGTTTGACATTTCTTGGGGACCTTTGTGCTCTGCTCTTATCTCTGATTGTTGAATATTGGTGTCTTAAATTTGGCATTTATTTTAAATTTTAGATAGCGAGGAACCAGAAGTAATGATTGTGGCTACAATAGCATGGGGACTGTGCAAAAGCTCTCGTGCTATAGTCTTGACATTAATATTTTCAATTGCTCTGAAACCTGGCTTCATTCATGCTGTATATAGTAAGTTGAATTCCTTTTATACCTTTCCTCTCATAGTTTCTATCGGTTATGGTCAATGTACCACCAAAACTTTTTCATACGAAGACAAGGATGGAATTTCCTTGAAATGCCAAAAAAAAGATGTATCTCTGTTTCTATCAAGTTTTTAGAAAGTGACGGCATTCTTGATTTATTCACTATTTGAATATATATAAATCTACAGGAATGTACTTACTGCTGTCAATTTCTTATTAATATCACAGTGGTATTCTTTATGATTTATCTATTGAGCCACACCATCAGTAGGAGGATTCGCCAATACCTTATTCTTCTATGCGAGGCACATTTTGTGTTAAAGTACATTCTTCAGCTCAATTTAATCTCCAAGGCCTTAGAGGAGAAAGGTTCTTTGGCTTTGGAAATAATCTCACAATTAGGTAAGCATCTGTAAACTACTTGTTTTACTTGAGCCATTAAATTTCTTCAATATGTTATTATGGGTACTCTAGTCTTTCAAAAGCAACTATTGTATTTTCTGAAGAATGTCTATACTTAATTTTCCCCTTTTTGCTGGTAATATTGATACTTGTATTTTGTGAATCATTTTAGGTCTTCTCGATCATGCTAGTTCTGGGGATTTTGTGAAGATTGCTGGGCTTGCTTGCTTTTGTTCTGTTTATAATCACGGCTCTGATGTGCTTTTTTCATATTCAACCATTGTGCAACACACACCCTTCCCTCCGATTGGATGGAGCATCTTGAAAGCTGGTCTGAATAAATCAGTTCTACTATCAGTTTATACACCATCATCCAGAGAAAGGGAGCCCACAAATTCTTTTAATGGTATAATTGTATCCAAGGCTGAATACATCCTGGGTGATTTTTGTGATTCAAATTATTTTCTCAATTGCTACAAACTTGAAATTGTCTCCCTTTTTGTGGTTTACAGAAAGACCTTTAGCTAATATTGTTATGCTTAACTCCATAGTTCACACATTGTGTTATATGTGAACAAAACATATGGCATGTGGCAGAAGAGCATAGGCACTTGGATGATATTGTTACGATAGTAAAAGACTTTTTCTTCAAGTCTCTAAACCATTTTCACTGTCTAGAAACCAGGAATCAAGTTGTTTACCCTATTGGTTAGGTTATTGCAAGATACTTTATATCAGACAGTTGTCGTTCCCATCACCATCATTGTTGCATTGGTCTTAATTCACAAACAATCCCTCCCTTTTTAATAATTCACTAACCTCTCCTTCGTAGTGACCCCTTTAGAAGATTTTCTCTTGCATTACTTATTTCAATTTGTTAATTCTTGTCTGACTCATAATAATTTCATTCAACACATACAAAACCTGATATGCCCTTGTTAGAGAAAATAAAATGTGAAATTTGTCTAACCACCACCATCTTAGCTTTTCAATCAAAGCCTCAACATCAATCATGAAGCACCATTACTAGCTTCTTTCCCACCATTCTCTCTCTCCCTTCCAAATTTCTCTCACTACTCCCTCTCTCTCTCTCTCTCATTTTATTTTTTCTTCATACACCTAGTTGATGTAAAAATATAATTAGAAATGAATATATTGTGAAATGGTAGGAGTAGCACCAATTTAAGATAAGTTGAGAGAGAACAAACTAAAATGGTTTGGTTATATACAACAAAGACCTATAGATGCAACATCAACGAAGAGTGATATGTTCACCATAAATGGAAATGTTGGGGGGAGGGGAAGCCTAAACTAACATCGATTGTGGTAGTAAAATAATAAATGAATTTATTTAATTTAACTGAGCATATAGCCCTTTACGGAGCAGAATGACGAAAAATGATTCATGTAGCCGATCCTATTTAAGTGGGACATAAGGTTTAGTTTGGTTTGGTTACACCTAGTACATAGAACTCCACTATTCCGCACATACTGCTCCCTTTTAATCAACTTCTTTTTTTCTTTTTAAACTCTTTCTCTTGCTCAAGCCTAGTTTTATACTATATCTCTAGTACAACAATGACCACCCAAAACCACCCAATTAGAGAGGTTTTGGTGATGGAGAAATATAAATAAAGAATAGTGTGCTTTCATGGTAACACACGGAGTTAAATTTGGGCTTCGTGGAGATTATATTGTGGTGGTGGTTTGGTGGGCTAGTGGTGGTATTGTTGGTTTGGAGGTATAGTGGTGAGAGCAGTGGAAAGAACTAATATGGGAGTTAGCAAAGTGGCAATGATTATTTTGGGGCTATTTGATGGTGATAGGGAGGATAAGCTTTCTCATAGTTGTTAAAGAGATTTAGGCAACAACAATTGCTAGGATTTGTGAGTTTTGAGAAAAGAAAAATTAGAGGTATGAGTGATCTCTCACCCTCTTTTATATTAAATCATTGGCATAATTACAGTGAATGAAATAGGAAATATTTCTATATTCTAACATTCTATATCCTAACACGCCCCCTCAAGCTGGGGCGAAGATATCTCTCATGCCTAGCTTGTTGAGAATGTCACAAAATGATTTATTCCCTAAGCCTTTGGTGAGAACATCAGCCAGTTGGTCCCCAGACCTCACGAAGGGAGTACATATAGTGCCACTAGTGAACTTTTCCTTAATAAAATGCCTATCAAATCTCCACTTGCTTGGTCCTGTCATGTTGAACCGGATTGTGAGCTATATTGATAGCTGCCTTGTTGTCACAATATAGCCTCAATGAATCTATGTGATGAATCCCCAAATCCCTCAAAAGTAATCGAATCCATAAAAGCTCACACACCCTGAGCCATAGCTCTGAATTTAGCCTCTGCACTGGACCGCGCAACGACATTTTGTTTTTTGCTTCTCCGAGTTACTAGATTTCCTCAAACAAAAGTACAATAGCCAGAGGTTGACTGTCTATCAGTGACTGAGCCAGCCCAATCAGCATCTGTATATGCCTCCACACTCAGATGATTATGTTTGGAGAAATAGAGACCTTTTCCCGGAGAAGACTTCAAGTACTGCAGAATCCGCATAACTGCCTCTAAGTGACTGGCACGTGGAGCATGCATAAACTGGCTAACCATACTCATGGCAATAGCAATGTCAGGACGTGAATGAGATAAGTAAATAAACTTACCCACGAGCCTCTGGTACCTCCCCTTGTCTACAAGCTTGCCTCCTTGATCCTCACTAAGCTTTAGCCCAGGCTCAAGTGGTGTATCACAAGCTTTACTGCCAAGCATTCCAGTTTCTCTTAGCAAATCAAGCACATACTTCCTTTGACATATGAAGATGCCATCTTTGGACCGAGCAACCTCAATACCTAGAAAGTACTTCAAGCTACCTAAGTCTTTGATTTCAAACTCATTGGCCAAATATTCCTTTAATCTAGGAACCTCCTCAACATCATCTCCTGTGAGTACAGTATCATCGACATAGACAATAAGAACTGTCGTCTTACCATAGGAGGAGTGTTTCACAAACAAAATATGGTCAGCTTGACTCTGTTTGAAACCATATCGCAGCATGGGCTAAGTAAATCTCTCAAACTAAGCCCTAAGAGATTGTTTATGGCCATAAAGCGACTTGTGTAGACGGCACACTTTTCCTTTGGTTTTAACATTCTCAAAGCCTGGGGGAATGTCCATGTATACTTCTTCTTCCAAATCACCATGGAGGAAAGCATTCTTCACATCAAATTGATGGAGAAGCCAATCGAGATTGGAGGCAAGGGAGAAAAGGACTCTGACAAAGTTCATCTTAGCAATAGGTGCAAATGTCTCCTGGTAGTCTACTCCATGAGTTTGAGTAAAGCCCTTGGGCACCAATCTTGCCTTGTAACGTTCAATTGATCCATCAGCTTTGTGCTTCGCGATATATACCCACTTACATCCAACAGGTCTTTTGCCCTTAGGTAACTCAACCAATTCCCAAGTGCCATTTTTTGCAAGAGCTCTCATCTCCTCCATCATGGCACGCTTCCACTCAAGAGTAGAAAGAGCATCTTGAAAATTAGAAGGAAGACTCATAGAAGAAACTTTAGATAAGAAAGCTTTATAGGAAGAAGACAGATTAGTATAGGAGACAAAATGAGAAATAGGATGTTGAGTACATGACCTAACCCCCTTCCTATTAGCAATGGGAACATCTAGATTAGAAGGAATAGAGTTCCTGGAGTCTCATCAGCAGAAGAGGATTCTGGACACTTATCAGAAGGAGAAGATAGCAGGGGAGACTCCGAAGGCTCTTGTATCCAAGTAACTTGTTTTCTATCTTGTCTCTGACATAAACTTTGCCATATTTTACGGTTGTGTCAGATTCCGACTCAACAGGCTCAATAGCTGAGTCACCTTGAACATCCTGCTCAATCACGGATACAGGAATCGCTTCACACCAAGGCTTCCCCTGAAGGTATGACTGGAGCACCGGAGAGGACAGGAAGTTGGACTGAGACTCAAAGAAAGACACGTCCATAGAGACAAACCATTTTCGAGAGGGAGGATGATAACACTTGTAGCCCTTTTGGGTGGCAGGGTAATCGATGAAGACACAGCGAAGAGACCGAGGATCCAACTTACCACGGGTAGGAGAATAGTTATGAACAAAGCACACACACCCAAAGGTTTTTGGAGGAAGGGAGAAATTAAAAGAGGGGGACCCTAACAAAACCTGAAGAGGAGTGCGTTTGTGAAGAACTTGGGTAGGCAGACGATTGATGAGGTAGGCTGCCGTAAGAACAGCTTCCCCCCAATAGGAGCGAGGAACACACATTTCAAAGGTCAAACAACGCGCAATATCACAAGAAGTTTAGTGAATAATACCATGAGTGGCAAAATAGTTGGCAAGACCGGAGTTAATGTATTTCCCCCCATTATCAAAACGCAGAACTTTTTCAACGGCCCCAAACTGAGTGCAAATCATTTTATGAAAATTTTGAAACACAGAAAAAATCTCACATTTATCCTTCATAAGATATACCCAGGTGGACCTAGAAAAATCATCAATAAAGGTGACAAACCATCTTCAACCCTTTAAAGATACAAAACGAGAGGGACCCCATACATCAGAATGAATCAATGAAAAATGAACTAAACTTTTATTAATAGACGGAGCAAAAGAAGCTCTGTGTTGCTTGCCAAATTGACACGACTCACAATGAAACTTAGAAACATGATGGTTCAAAAAAATTGAAGGAAAAAGATGCTTAAGTAACAAAAAAGATGGCCCAAGACGACAGTGCCACAGCCATAAGTCTTCCTTGGTAGAGGGTAACTGAATGAAGGAATGAGCCCACTTGTCTGCTTGATCCAAGATATAGGGACCATTCTCGTGTCTACCACTGCCAATCATCTTCCTCGTGATAAGGTTCTGAAACAGACAATGATTAGGAAAAAATGTCACACTGCAATTTAAGTCCCCGAGTAATACGACTCAAAGATAAAAGATTAACACGAAAATTAGGAACATGTAGGACAGAAGACAAAGGAAGGGAAGCAGTGGCATGAATTAAACATTTCCCAGACATAGAAGAAATGGTGCCATTAGCAATACGAACTTTATCCTGGCCTGAAGAAGGGGTATATGCTGTAAACAAATCAGAAGACCCAGACATATGACTTGAAGCACCAGAATCGATAATCCAAGGCAATGTTTGATGAGATAGGAAAGCACTTGGAGAAAACACTAAATTACCTGAATTGGCAAAGTTAACTGAAGAAGAACTAGATGCCCGACGGTTTAGCAAGTAGCAAAGAGCAACCTCCAACTCAGAAGTAGAAAAACCAGAGATATCAGCAGAAGAAACATCCGGAGCTGGGGATTGGAGCTCAACTGTATCAGAATGATGGGCTCGAGCATTAGGCCCTT